TTTTTCTCTCTCTCTCTCTCTCTCTCTCTCTCTCTCTCTCTCTCTCGTTTTCCTATTACTCCTCGACCTGTCGAAACATAGTTTTTCTTCGATTCACGAATGAAAATCTTCTCTCGTGAGAATTTTATCAAGATATGGTGAATAGTCAGACGCACGATCTATCTTCGATTTTAATCCTTTGCACTCGTATGTCGTCCTGTAGTTGCCATCCTACATTTTATTATTATACATATGTTTAAATTACATTCTATGTGTATAATACAATTATATATAATATAATTACATTCTAGGAACTCTTGTTACCTTGATTGGTAACCTTCTTGAATATAAATACGAGTGCAAAGAGTTTTAAGATATCCGATTTGCTTAAATTCGTACGAAACGTTTAACCGTACGTGAGACGATAGATGGCGTCAAGAGCGATCATCGTGACGAATAGAAGAATAATCCGAATAATTCTTTCGAAAAGAGATCGTTTTCGCTGACTGTCGGTCGATTTCGAAGCTTTCGATTGTTTTCGATTCACAAATGAAACTTCTCTCCTGAGAATATTATCAAGGTGTTACGGATAACTAAATGCACAATCTCTCTTCAATTTTAAAATATTCCACTTGCTTAAATTCGTACGAACGTTAATCGTACGTGAGACGATAGATGGCGTTCTATGACTACGAATAGAAGAATAATTCGAAAACTGTTCTCGACCGATTTTGAAGCTTTCGATTGCTTTCGATTCACGAATGAAACTTCTCTTTTGAAAATATCATCAACGTGTTATGAATAATCCAGACGCACGATCCTTTTTCGATTTTAAGATATCCGAGCTGCTCAAATTCATACGAAACGTTTAACCGTACGTGAGCCGATAGATGGCGTTCGATGATTGCTAATAAAAGAATAATCCGTCGAAAAAAGATCGTATTCGCGTTTTCGCTGACCGTTCTCGACCGATTTCGAAGCGCATGCACTCGCATACGATTGACGCAATACGGTTCAACTTCCTTCCGCCACACTCGCGCCCGATGGACGTAAGCGAGTGGGCCAAGTCTTTGGAAAACGCGCTACTTCAAATTCGCCCTCGAGTCGAGTCTCTGGAGTGGAGTGAAGTGGAGTGGGGACGAGGCGCGCAAACATTCGAATCGGGAAAGCAGCGCAAGTTGCACCGTTCGGTGGTGGAATTCGATTTGATAACAGAAGGAAGTTGATAGAATTTCAGCGAAAGGCTGTGACGGGCCGCGTGTATAAGAATTGCATTATTGAAAAGTTCCGATGTAAAAGTTAGGTATCGGAAATCCTTCACGCGCGACATATCGTATCTTTCTCTCTCTCTCTCTCTCTCTTCTCTCTGTTATGTCGGTTTTCGTTACAGGGTCACGGTTATACGTCACTTCGTTACTTCGATGAATTAGAGAAAAGTAGAGAGAGGAGAGAACGAAAAAGATCGATATCGTTCAATCTTCTCGATTCTCGAACGATTTTTTTTTTTTTTTTTTTTAAATTTATACTGGCCAAGAAAACGAGCAAATTTGATCGAGGTGAGAGAGAAAGAGAGATGTAAAATTCGAGGGAGGGGATAGCGAGGAATAAGCAAAGAGATATATCGAGGAGGGGGAAAGGTTGGCTGCAGGGTGGTTGCTCGTGAACGCCGCGCGAAACTTGCAAATGGGGAAAGTTAGGCAAAAGTAAGATCGGCTGAGTTGGCTGTAAGTAACCGATGGTTCGGCCCGCGATGGTATGCCTTCGAAATTAACTCCTTTCCAATTGAAACTTTTTTCTTCCCAAACAATTTTTCCATCCATTTTTTTTTTCTATTTCTTTTTTATTCGCGAAAATTCTGTACGTTTTGTTTCCTAATATCCGTTAATTCCTCTCTATCCCCCTCCCTTCCATCCTCTTTTCCCGTTTGTTTTCGGAACGTGAATTGATTCTTGTCGAGAGAGAGACGCGAAAACATCTCGAGTCAAGATTCTCCGCTGAGAAGCGAGCCCTTTATTTACAAATTAAGTAGCGCATTATCGGATAATTTCTCCTTTCATTTTCGCTTTTCGTATTCTCGTTAATTATCCCCAACTTGGACAAAACATCATTAAGAAACATATTTTCATTTTTACTCTTGGTTTAATTCCCTCGTAAAACTTTCGAAATGTTCGACTTTTGCCGATATTTATCGAAATAACGAATTAAATTTAATCGCTAATTTTTTTTTCTAAATTTCGTTCGTTGCTTCGATATCGATCGAATTTCTCCTTTCGTTTTTTCCATCCATTACTTACTCTTAATTCCTTTTTTTTCAGCTGCCGATCTTTATCGAAGGAACGAATTAAATTTAATCGCTAATTATTTTTCTAGATTTCGTTCGATATCGATATTTAATAGAAAGATACATCGTTTCCACGCGTGAATTTGAATTTTGTGGCGATCGACGGATCGATCACATATATATAGGATCGAAGCGAGTCTGGAAAAAAGTTGATTCGTCGAATCATCCCCTCTCCCTTCTGGAAAAAACCTTTTTTTTTTTTTTTTTCTTCGCTTGTGTGTTTAATCGACGGCCGATTTGTAGGGGCTTGAAGCGACATTGAGTGACAGCAAAAAGAAGTACGGCGACAAGGTGAATGCACTTCTGTCCGCCTGGGAGCATGTCACCAATTTCATTCCTGGGGCAACGCCAGAGGCCACCCAGTCTCTCATAGAATGGGCTCACAAGTGAGTATCCCCCTTTTCCCATTATTATTGTTATATTATTTATTAACGAACTTCTTATCCTCTCTCACAGGCACACGTTGAAATTGGTACTGCGCGGGGAGTGGCCCAAGTTGTCACCCGCGACGAAGACGCACCTCAGTGTTACGTTGCAGAGGTGCGCGTCCCACCTGGTGCAACACCCCGCTGCACCCTGGTGCACTGCCCTGATAGCTCTGGTGCACAATCCATGGACTCATCCCGCCCTCGACAGCATACTTAACGGCCAACCGGATTCCGAACATGAAGAGGGTAAAATCTCTCGATTCCAATTCGATTGGATCCCCAAATTGAAGCTAGTTATTAACACGTTCGTTGGTCAGCGTGATTTCCTCAAATTGTCCAAATGTTACTGTGACAAGGCCGTAAGAACAGAGCGATAAACGAGAAAATAGTTTTAATATTTTTATTTCATATATTTATGTATATTATACTAGCTCTTAGTCTTCATTAACCAAGCATCTACTTCCTTCGTTTCCAAAGTCGATTTTAAGTATTTTCGTGAATATAAGCCTCTAACTGGCAACTCCTATTCTATATTATCGGTGGTAATAAAACACCCTCCTATGTTACCATAATATACCATATAATTTTAGATTTAAAATTGTATAAAAATGCAGAGTGAAATTTTAAATTCGATTCCAAAGTTTTATTTTATATTTATATTTCAACGCTTGTCCCATTAAATTTCTTTTAAAATTCCGCTTTAACTCTTTGCATTCATACAATCGCTGTCCTAATGTAATATAATGTAAATATATGTATTTACATCAGTAAATATACGTATAATATAATATAATATATTTCTAGAAGGCTCTTCTTACTTGATTGATAACTTTCTTAAATATAAATACAAATGTAAATGGTTAAAATCTTATTTTTTGAAGAAGAGGAAAGCGTCATCCATGTATGGGTGACGTGGCGGCGAACGTGTTAATAATAATAATAATAATAATAATAATAGTAATAATAGTAATAATAATCAGATCCGTTCTCGATCGACAGAATTCTGCTGTTCGGAGAAAGGCGAACTGCTGACAATGAGGCTGAAAATACTTTGCGAGGACCGCTGCGAGGACATAGCGGTGAACCTCGCCGCCGCCTGCGTACGCTCCCTGAGGCGAAGCGACAGGTTGCGCTCGCTCTCCGACTCTCATCACGTTCATTACATGATCGACGTTTACATTGTCCTCTTGTATAAATTGAAACGCACGCAAGATATATTCGCTCAAGTGAGTACACACTGTGGATCCATCGATGGATCCGTGTGCGACGGAGGACCGTTCTTTTTTTCTTCTTATCTTTTAACCCTTTGCGCTCCAGGCGATTTTTCTTTACGTATAATCTTGTAGAATGATGTATCAGGGTGTCCAGTTTCTTTCGCTAGGAATGAGCTTTTAGCGGTTATGTTTGTATGAACATGCAGGCTTATTTGTTAGCCGTCTGTATTTATATATATATATATATTTATATTACATTCTAGAGACTCTTGTTACAATTTTTACTTTCTGCTTAAATGTGTATGTAAAACAAATGTGAACAAGATATTAAAGATAATAAAATATATATATATATACTGATTAAGGGATTGAGATACAAATATCGTATCAAAAAGAAAGAAAGAAAGAAATTTATGGGACACCCTGATATTATCGAATGGTTAGATTTTTGTTATCTCAAATTAGAACTGCATTTTCGGCGTTAGTCTAAGTTTGCGGCGATAGAAATGTTATTTTCGAAGTTTCTGAGTTTTGTAAGCGGTGAGACGATAGAGAGAAAGGAAATAGTAGATGTACGAGAAGATGAATAATAAGAATAGTATCTGTGAATGTGAGAGCATGTTGAATTGAGATTGTAAGGTTTGCAACGAAAGTTTATCGCGACACTTGCCTTGACGAATCGAGGATGCATTCTGGTAATTACTTTATTATTAATCTTTTGCACTCATATGTACATTTTATTATTGTAAATACATATATTTACATAAGTATTACATTCTAGGAACTCTTGCTACAATATTTTCTGCTTAAATGTGTGTGTATATATAAAATACAAGATAATAAAGATAATAAAAGATATATATATATATATATATACATATGTATACATAGATTTTCACCGATTAAGAGATTGAGGTGTAGATAAAATTTATGTATTTTTCAAATTTTTTTTACTAAAACGGCAAGTTAACTCGTAACATATTCCCAGAAAAATGTTTTCATTTTGTATATATGAAAAAAAATGCCGAATTGATTGGTGCAAAACGAGTGCAAAAGGTTTAAAATATCACGCGAGATAACAACAATATAGACTTTGATATTCGACAAATTTTCTCTCTTTATACGATACGATAAAACATTAAAATAAAATAGTTTTATTAAGTGCGATTCGTGCGCGAGATCATTTTAACTTGGCTAAGAAATTCAGTGTGGAGTTGTTGATTCAGCCCGGAGCGCAAAGGGTTGAAATAATAATAAAAGCGCGGTACAAAAACAGTGTCCATTTTCAGTTAAAATTAATGGATCTAAGCGACGGATTGGAATTGGTCCAACGACTGAGCGGCGAGAGACCGACAAAGTATGGGACTGCACGGGTTTGGAGAAATTCTATAAAAGCTGCCGAATTGGTTGCACAATATCTCGTCACAGCCGGTATGGTGCGCCCCGTGCCGGAAACGGGGGCCAACATTTTGGAACAAATTCTAAACTCTTGGGCGTTGTTGCATTCGAAATTGAAGGACGTCGAGCCCACGTTACCCGGGATGATAAGGAAATTGATCGAACCAGCCGAAAGCGCTCAACACATTTATATCTTTTGCGCGGTACTCGTCAAACACGTAAGTCCATTTGCCCGTATCTATATCCTATATTCTCTTTTTCCCGTTTTCCTCTCGAAATCGAGAACGAGAAAAAAAAAAGAAAAAGAAAGGTTTTATTTTTGTTTTGTTTTTTTTCTCTCTCTCTCTAATTACAGTTCGGCGACAGCGTAAAGACCCTGGTGATCGAGTTGTACATCAGGGCGTTGACCACAGACATGAACGAGTTGGAGAGTCAGAAAGCCAAATCCGACACGGAAAAGGTTCGCGAGACTGCGAAACGTTTGAGCACGCAGTTCCTTAAACTGGCCGACGTTGTTGGGAGCAACATAGGGATCGCCCGAGAATGCGTACTGACGGCGTTCTCGCTGCACCCGACCAGGGCTTGTTACGACAGGATCAAAGAGATGGCGGTCGCGTGCGGGAAAACGAAAGCTGATGGGACGCCGGCCGATGGCGGCGCTGCGGTCGTTAACGAGAAACTGAAGCACGCTCTGGCGGAGAGCGCCAATCACTCATCTAATGCTGGATCGATGAAAAGGATCGAAAGCGATAGGGAAAGGGACGACGACGTCGAGAAGGCGACGAGAGCCGATTCACCGCCCCCCTCGTTGTGCAACCCTTCGTTGTTTTCAATGTCGTCGTCATCGTCGTCGTCGTCGTCGCCATTGTCGGCCGGTATCACGTCGATGAAGAAGCCGAGCATCGACTTTCAAAACGGGCAAGTGAGCAAGAGCTTCGAGCGCACCGATCAACTGTTGAAGAGCCTTCTGACACCCAAGAGGGGGGGAGAGACGATCATCTCGGCGAACAACGACAGATGTCCGTTGCACCCGAGGAGGGATCCGTTATCGAACGGCCCCCTCGGCGAGCTTTGCTTCAATTGCGGCGAGTTCACCGGCAACGATATTTCCAGGAGTAAAACGCCTGAGGGGAACGCCAGTCCCGGGAGCAGGAACGTGGAGAGGACCCTCGACGCCCTGATCCTGATCAAGGGCGACGCCGTGACCGGCTCCGCGAACTACGACGAGAAATCGGTGCCGAATCAGGTGTTGGACGCGGAAAAGCTCGGCCTCTCCCCCCAACTTTGCGACGATTTGGCGGTTGTTTTGAGCAGCCCCCGTTACCACATGCTCAGCTGGGTCCTCGATTGGAAAGAGTTGAACAGCCTGTGCGAGAGATACTTGGAGAACGCCGAGGAGATGAGAAACACGAACAAGGAGTTGAAATACCTCAACATAGATTATTCTCAGTTCAAGGATTGGCCGTCGGAGGACGATACGAAGGATATATTTTTCGGGATCGAGAAGGGATACGAGCAATGGGTCGATCTACCGTCGGACAACTCGGAACAGTTCGGCAGCTTTCAACCCGCGGGCAATTACAAGAGGTCCTCGACGAGGAGGAGCCTCGACGACACCACCACCACCACGGACTCGGACAGCGGCAGTGTGTTGCGGATAAGAAGGACGGGAAGACAGAGAAAGATTCACAGGTTGGAGTCGTCGGAGAGCGATTACGACAGCGCGGAGCGTAAACCGAAACACTTCAGGAACAGGATGAGCTCGATCTCCGATTCCGACAGCAACACGCAGGACAGCCAAACGGACAGTCTGGGCAGCGACGGGTGTCGAATGGAGGTGAAGAAGAAGCAGATAGGCAACAAATCGTCATCGTCGGGCAAGGAGGGGGGCAAGAAACTTCGTCCCAAGGGGTCGAAATTGACCGTCGAGTCGGTCTCCCATTTCCACATGCTCGTCAACGAGAACGTGCGCCACGGGAACACGAACGAAGACGCGAGCGGCTCGGACGTGAGCAGCAACGATATCATAACCTTGTTCTCGGCCGATATGGACGAGAGCAAACGGGAGACGATAAAGGGTTCGGCATACACGGCGGCCGCGCCTTTGATAATCACCGAGAGAAGGAGCGACCCGGCTGTGCTCAAATCCCTGAGGATGTTTAGGCCGCAGAACTCGAAGAAACCCACCAGGATCACGCAGATATTGCAGAAGAATCTTTTGAACAAGAGCAAAGACAATAATAATTTAGAGAATAGCACGAACAACGTGACGAAATTCGCCCCTATGCTGAGCACGTTGAACTTGAACCCGAAGATCGTGTTGACCAGGGCGGACGAGATCGACAGGAAGTTGATTCGGGCGAAGAAGCAGCAACGGTTGAGCAGCGGGGATATAACGAGCGAATTGATGAATATACAGAAAAACATGCCGTTCTCGCCCAACAAGAACACCTTGTCCACCACGTATCACCACCATCAAAAACAAAAGGGGAACGGAGCGACGATGATCGGTAAAACGGATTTAACGTCCGCCGACGGCCGGGATTTGAACTCGAAATCAAGTTTGGGCAAACGAAAGTTCGACATTCTGGCCAAGGCAGTCAGGGATTCGGACATCTTGGCGAAGAACGTGCCCGGCCTGAACACGTTGGACATGATGGTGCCGCCGAGAATGCGACCCACCGTGAACGTCGTCCAACTCTCCAGAAACATTCCGCAGAGCCCGAACTCGGGCTCGATCAACAGTGGCAATACACCTCCCAGGCCGAACAGAACTCCCAGCGTGGCAGGCAACATCCAATTGCCCGGCACACCCTCCTCCGGGGGCCACGACAGCGGTGTCGGCATGAGCCCGGCCGGTCAAACCCCCCCTCCAAGATCCTCCATCCTTCCCGACGTCGGCGAGGAGACAAATCAACCGCCTGACAACTCGCCCACTTCCTCCACGACCACCAACATTTCCAGCCAACTCGAGTCCGACTCGAGCCCGCGAACGATACCGATCCAACGACGAAACCAGCAGAGTCAATCACCCAAGAAATCCCCTTCCCCGTGTTCCGCCGCTATCGCGACTACGACCGCGACGACGACCACGAGTTCGGGGATCCCCTCGACGAATATCGCGTCGGAACAGTTGCAGATCGTTTGCAAACCGGACGGCACGTATCAACTGGCCTCGGTGAATCCGAGCGTAGTGTCCAATCAGAGGAATCAGGTTCTCAACCTGCAAAATATCGACGACGGAGGAGGTGGAGGAGGAGGAGGAGGGGTCGCGAATTTTTCACAGAGGCAAAATCAGAGAGGCGAGAACGGCGGTGGGAACAGCAGGAGCACGTACGAGAGATTGACGAAGGCGAGCGCGCAACAAAATTCCGGGCAGAACGCCGGTTTGCCGAAATTTCAACAGGCCTTCGGTAAAACTATATACACGCTTTCCACGGATGCATCGGGTGCGAGTGGCGTGACGACGGGTGGCGCCGCCTCGGCGGAAACTTTGGTACAATCGGTATCTCCTCAAAAAACGGCTAATCTCTCGAAAGCTGTACAAACGTCTGTGCCCAACGCGCAACAGGCGAACACCCCGTCCACGGGGATAAACGTGCAGTCCATCGCGAACATTCCAAACGCGTTACAATTATCGACCACGAGCAGGCAGATATTGAACATCGTTCAAAGCTCCGGGAATAACGCGAACGTGGTGGCGGCGACCAGCCCGAACGCGAGTCAAACGTTGACGCAGTTGGTGCAGAACGCTTCGCCCGGTGTCATATACACGCACAAAATCCCCGTCACCATATCGACCACGAATCCAAGCCAGTTAAATATTATCCCCACCATATCGCACGCGAATTCGATACCAACCGGAAGGACACCTGTGGTCAAGTTGAACATCATTCGAGCTCCTTTGAGGCAACAAAATATCACGGGAGCTATACAAGCTGTACTGACCACACCGAGATTGCAACAACAGCAGCAGCAACAGCAACAACAGCAGCAACAACAACAGTCCACGGTTCGAACGGACAGTTTGCTCGGTTCCCCCATAGAGGTGCCGAATCAAGTCAGTTCGACCACTTTGGAACAATTGAGGGAGTTCGAGAGTGTATTAGAACAAGTGAAGGAGAGGAGCACGATTCAACCGCAATCCCATCAAACGATATCCACCTCGGCCACTACCACCGTACAAACGCAAACGACCACGCAGCAGCAGCAACAACAGCAACAGCAACAACAACAACAACAACAGCAGCAGCAGCAGCAACAACAAACGCAAGCTGGTAAACAACAGCAAGTGTCGGTGAGCGCGCTGGCCCAACAACTTTTAATGCCGACGCAGCAACAGAGTGGAGGAACGAGCAACGAGTTCGCGAGCAACGGGAACGCGACGGTGAATTTCCAACAGGACGTTTTCTCCCAAAAAGTGTCTCTTGCTTACGTGAATCAGAATACGGGATCGGTGGTTGCGAAAACGCCGAACTCGACGCCGGTCGTGGTTGTGACCAGTTACTGTCAACCGGCCGCCTCGCCCGCGTTGAGCGTCACCTCGCAGAGCTCTTCCAGTCCTTGCGTAACGCCCGCCCCGGCCCCTGTACCTCCGGCAGGGAAAACACCGCCCACCCCGCCCTCCTCGAAGACGGTGAAGAAAGCGGCGCCGAAAACCGTGAAAACCAGCGCGACAAACACGTCCAAGTCGTCTCCGATACCAAAATCTCAACAAAAGCCGCAAGAGGACGAGCAAACAGCGCAGAGGATCTACGCGATTCTGGACGAGTACGCGGAGCAATTGCGCAACTCGCCCGATCTGAACAACAAGCCCGCCCCTCGGAGAAGATCGAACCCGCCCACGAATCCCAGCCAATCGTCGAAGAGGAAGAAGTCGAGCGCGAGCAAGGCGAAGTCGGTGGGGGGCCAGCAGAACAACAACTCCTCGGAGCTGAGCCCGAGCACGGACGATCTGGGCAGGACGATGGGCAGCGAAGACTCGTCGAGCGGCGTGGTTCACGTGCAGGACAGCCCGGCTGGTTTTCCCGCCCCCGAGGAGCAACCGTCGGCCAACGTAGGTGGCGCTGGCGAGGCGGCGAGCGCCGCTGCGGCCGAGGTTCGAAATCTGGCCACCGACTCGAACGATGGCGTTGAGGTGAACGTGAAGAGGCGAAATCTCATCTTCGCCGAGCCTGGATCCGGCCAGCCGAGGGCGGTGATCGTTCAAGAGGCGGTGCAGGCCGGTTCCGTGTCGGTGAGCGAGGCCCTCGCCTCGGTCACGGGCAAGGTGGGTAGCACGGCCGTCTTCGTCCCGGGCCCCAACTACATCCTGCCCATGAATCTGGTGAAGGGGGGCCAACAGTTCACCATAGTGTCGAGCGGGTCGAAGCTGTTGGCAACCGTGCCGGCGACCGTGCGCGCCACGGGCAACGCGGCCGTCTCCAACACGTTGGTGCTTCAATCGTTCCTGAATCAGGCGGGGAAGATAATCTCGCAACCGGCGCAGGTGAAACAGGTGAAAATACCAACGTTGCAAACGTTGTCGGGCAGCCAGGCGTCGTTGGGGACAGCGCAGAACGTTCAGGGGGCCTCGGTGGTGATACCTCAGACGGCCTCGGCCGGGAATCATCAGTTCGGTTCGGGCGACGTGGTCACGGAGAAGGGCGGCAACGTGATCGGTGACCTGGCGATGGCGAAATCGGACGCCACGGTCCCCGCAACCGTCGTCGAATCCGCGAACGCCGCGATCGTGGTCAACAAGAGCAACTCGGCGATCGGCTTGATCCAGCGCAACTTGAACGAGGGCGGGGAGGGGGGCCAACCGATCTGCGGGGTGATCACAAGCAATCCGAATTTGACCTTCAAGGGGCAAGATTGTTCAACTCCTCTTCCATACACAAATTGACGAGCCCTGGGCTCAAGTCGGACAACGTGGTGTGCATCACCACGCCCACGGCGACGATCGCCCAGCACAGTCCGGAGAAGACGAGCCAGTCCCCCCAGGAGGGTCAAATTCACAACAACGACAAACACGTGTCCATACAAACGGGTGCAACGATCGCTCTCGCGTTCGCCACTCAATCCGACGTTTCCCTGTTGAACGATGCCTCTCAACACCACCATCACCACCATCACCACCACCATCACCATCAGCAACAGCAGCAACAGCAAAAGGACACGAAGGAGGCGTCGACGGAGATAATCCCTGGCGCCAAGATCATCTCCCCGAAGACGGTGAAAAGAAAAATCGAGGACTCGATGGGTATGTATAAGAACGCACGAGGGTGAAACTCGATGAAAACGTCGAGTTTTTTTCGAGCAGGTGATGAGACCAGTTCGATTCGAGAAATTTTAATATCCCTTTTTCGTTCGATTCGGTGATGTACGATCCGTTTCTTTTTCTTCTTTTTTCGCAGATTCGATGTCCACCACGATCGGAACGGTGGTGGGGAGCAAGCAGCCGGGAGGAGAGATGGACGGGGCGACGCAGTTCCTGGTGACCGGCGGGCCGAGCAGCTCGGACAGCCAGGAGTCATCTGTTCAAGCGTCGGGCGAGGGTATCGAGGTGTCGTGCAAAGTGGGGAACGGTCTGTTGTACGGGAACGCGAGGTTGCAAGAGGCCTGGGAGCCGGAGGGCAAAGTGTCGCCCGACACGCCTTGGCGCTACGTCCCCACGTCCACGAATTCATTGAGCATCGACCCCCTGAACTCGAGATACTCGGACAACACGGAGAACGTGCAAAGCGTTCTCCAGATCATCAACAAGGGGCAAGGTATCGAGATGTCCGCGGGCGGCCAGATATACCAGACGAAGAAATATTTCATGAATCACACGCTGGAACCGTTCCAACAGTACGCGAGCAAGGGGAACGTGATGAAAACGCCGTTGAACCCGAGATTGGATCGGGAGTTGTTGCAACAGAGGATGGAGAGGAAGGCGGCGGCCATGGAGAGGGAGATGAAGATGCAGAAAAGTTTGTCGGAGGAGTGCGAGGATTTGGGCGTGGACGAGCCAAGCACCAGCGACCTCTTCCCGGAGGCGGATCTACTGTTCGACACGAATCATTCCCCCTCTTTCGACCACTCGTCCCAGGACGCTTCTTGCAGCCAACCGTTGGGCATGAAATCGTACGGTGGCTCGTACTTTCGCTCTCTCGATTCGTCGAGCGGGAGCAGGGACGCCAGTCCCGTGGCCGATTTCAAAGTTAACGTCGAGCGTGGCAGAAAAAGCGGCGGCGGCGGCGCTGGCAATCAGAGGACAAGATCGACGAAGGATTCCGCGTCGAAAAGGTCGAAGAGGGAGAAGGCGGAGGAGTTGGAAAATCCGGCGAAGCACATTCGACTGACGTTGGATAACCTGAGCCAGGACGAGGCGTCGAACAGTAATTCGGACATCTCGAGATTGTCGCCGACCAATCTTGCCTCGTTGGAGAACGACTCGTCGAAGGATAGGGGGGGGAAGATGGCGTCGAGGAACGGGTCGAAGGAGGGGACGCCGAGCAGCGTGTCGAGCATCCCGTCGAACATGAAGCTTGACATTGATCTCGACTCGGAATCGTTGCCGCCCAGCATAAACGTAAACAACGCGTCGGCCGCTAGCTCCGGGGACGAGAGCTTAACACTGTTGAGCAGCAACACGGCCGACGTGACGATACCCTCGCCCCTCTCCCCGATCGCTGGCCCTATGTTGTCCACGCACAAGTACACGTACACGAATAAGAAACGGATCGCGTCCAAGGTGACGAGGATGGATTATCTATCCTGGGAGAGCCCGATGTCCGAGAGGACTAGGTCGAGCAGCGACGAGGAGGATTCGAGTATAAGCGAGTCGATCGGCAGCCAACCGGAGGAGAACGCGCTGAGCAACGGCCTCGAGGACAGTGTGCAAAGCCTCAAGTCTTTGTCGAACGAGCGGCGTTGCAATTACTTGAAAAAGAAAGACAAGTTACAGGTGAATGCGAGGGTGGTGTTGAATCGGGCAGATCACAAGGGTGGTGGCCTGTCGAAACGAATTAAGGTGTCGAGCGAGTCGATCCAAGATTCGGTTATGGTTTCCAGTGATAAGGCATCGGAGCCCTCCGACGACGAAACCTCCGGGAATATCGCTTTGGTCGAGCCGGACTGTCGGGCAAGACGGTCGAGCTTGCGCGGCCACGTTAAGAAAGGATGCGCCTGTTGTAACGGATCCCCGGAGAGACCTAAAAAGAAGTCGGTCAAATCCGATCATCCGAGGTTAAAGAAACGATTGTCGTCGAAACAGGCCGGGAAGAAAAGGTAGTCCTAGCGTTCGAACGCTCGACGGAGCATCGCGTGTTCGATCTTGATTCTAACAATGCTACGTGCTTGTCCATCGCGTTGGACGCGGTTCCCCGGTGACGAAGGAGCTTCCATAAAACGTATCCGGGCGTATCCTTGTAACCGTAACGCCATTGCGAGAAACTTAGGATTTTTCAATAGCCGAAAAGTTGAACGGATTATCCGAAACTGTGAGAAACGCACGAATCGTCGAATTTGTGTGTGTATGCGTGTGTATATATATATATATATATACATATATACCGGTAATATGGAATGCCTATCCTCGTATTAGGCAAGTTTAATTTGCGTGACACTCGCAAGTTCTTCGTTCTTGGGCATAAACGTTGAACTCGTTTTATCAGAGACGGTAAGAGTAAGAGAGAGAGAGAGCGAAGGAACGAATGGTTGTTCTAATTAACGATTCTCGACAACAAGTAGGTCATCCTCTTACCACTAGATGTTATTGTAATACTAGATGTAAGATGAAAATTATAATGAATGGCAGACTTAGATTAAATCGTTAAGGATATTAGAGACGCAATCTAGTCAAAAAAAGATAAAGGTTTTACGGCGAGGAATAGGCGCGTGAAAGGGTAGAGAGATAGCGTGGAGGGGAATTTGGTAAGAGAAGGATGGGAAAAATTAAAATAGAACGCATCCGATAGATCCCTCGCAGACTAAAGAATTTATAATTAAAAGCCTGAATTCATAATTTCTGTCTACTGTATCTATT